CCTTCTGGGCGCGCTCGGCGATGTCGGCTTGGGTCTTGACGTATTGCATCTGGTTCTCGGCCTCAGCCCTGTAGTCGGCTACATCATTGTTGAGTCGGGTGATCTCTGCTTCCAAGGTTTCCTTCTCTTGTCTGAGGACCAACGTGTCTTGCTCATGCTTTCCTCGCAGTTCGGTAAGCTCGGTGCTGCTTGATGCGAGCTCAGAAGAAATGTCTTCCACACGCTGTTGCAGATCGCGGATAGTAGCATCCTTCTCTTCTTGCGCAAGGTTGAGTTGTTCTTGGAGTCGTTCGTGGGCCTCGACGAAGGTCTGCAGTCGGTTCTCAGCATCCTGGGCGATATCCTGGAAGCCGGCAATCTGGGCTGTGACGGCCTCCAGATCCTCTTCCTTGCGCTCGATCTTGCGCTTGAGGTCTGAAACCTGTTCCGCCAGCTCTTCCTCACGGCTGACAGGATCTTGCTCATCGTTGGCATGCGATCGTGGTTGAAGAGCCTGTAGGCGCTCCTCGGATGACTGGAGTTGGTTCTGGAGTTCCTTGAGGCGTTGCTCCAACTGGTGACGTGTCGTTTCAGCGGTCGCGGACTTGACTTCAGCACTGTTACGTGCTGCAATGAGGTCATCGATCCGTCGTTGCGTTTCGGTTCGCTCGTAGTCTCGTTGCTGGGTGGCCCTCTTGTGCTCGGCGATCTCGTCCTCCAACTTGCTTTCGGCGCTCTGCAAATCTGTCCGAAGCTTGTCCACCGTGTTCTGCAGTTCGCGTCGGCTCTCCGCGGTAGCCAACTCAGCTTCGTTGCGCAGACTCTGAATCGAAGACACCATGTTGCTCAACCGATCGCGCTCAGTCATCAACTCCTGGTTCCTTTCCTTGAGACGGGCTTCGATGGTCGCGGACATTTCCCGGGATGCCTTGAGCTGCACCATCTCGCCCTGCAAGCTCTGAAGACGTGCCTCAGCTTCCGCAGCGTTCTGGGTGGCCTTCACAAGCCTGTCGTCCTGTTGGGCCATGGTGGCTTGGACCTTGTTGTAGCGTTCCTGGAGGGAGTCCTTTTCGGATTGGAGCAGTTTGATACTGCCCTCAAGACGAGCGTACCTGTCCTGCTCTCGACGTACCTGCGATTCGAAACGGAGTTTGTCGCTCTGGAGCTGAGAGTTGTCCTTGGTCAGACTATCAACTTGCGCCTTGAGTGTAGTGCGGTCTGTGGCACTCTCCTCCTTGAGCAGGTCAATGTGTGATTGAAGGTCTTTGATAAGCTTGCTGTACTCGGGGATCTCGCGGGATGAAGAGCCGTTCTCGAGAAGCAAGGGAGCTCCGCCTGCAGGCACTGACTGTGCGAACGCAGATGTCGACTGCGAGTGAGATGGCAACTGGCCCCGACCGCCAACTATGCGGCTGTACATATCGCGCTCGGTCTTGAGGGTTTGCGAGCGAACGTTGAGTGACTTGATCTCTTCTTCCTTCTCAGCGACCACGGAGCGTAGACGGCCGAGCTCTTCGACGTCTTGCTGGTATTGCTCAGACTTCATGCGAACCTCTTGCCTCTCCTGTTCGTCGCCCACTTGTCGGAGTGTGCGCGACAGTTCGGCGTTCTGTTGCTGGAGGGTAGCAATGTCCTTGTAGAGGATCAGGTGCTTCGTGATCATCTGGTGTGTAGGCGAGTCGTCTGGTACGTGCTTGTCCGGTACTTGGTTGTTCTCGACAGCGTTGACGATGAACTCCTGCTGTTCCTCTGTGAGGCTGCCCAGACCCTGCTCTTCAATCTGGCGACGCCATAACAATGTCCGCAGCTGGATCGTCATGTCCTGTACCTGGCGACGCAGTAGAGCGGATTCGTTGTGTACGCCTTCCAAGTCACCCAGCGCCTTGCGCGAGTCGCGTTGTGCTGCCTCACGTTCGGCAATGGCTTCTTCGAGAAGCGCGCTGATTTCGTTGTTCTGCTCGTTCAGGGCATCGTTCTGGCGGCGGAGTTCGTCGAATTCGGGTTGGTGACGCTCCAGCTCCTGCAGCATGTCGTTGAGGACACCGGTGTTCTCTTCCAACTTCTCACGGACCTTGCGAAGCTCTTTCTTGAGGTCGTTGTTCTCGATCAGTAGCTGAGTCTTGGACGCATCGGTCTTGAGCTGCGAGCCGCCAGGGGAGAAGACGACGGCAGGCGAACCAGCTCGGCCGGGCGTGCTGAAGCCACCGTTCATGCTCATGCCGTGTCGCGGGGTTCCGGGTACGCGGACGGAGCTTCGAAGCTCGGAATTGTCGCTCTTGAGGGTCTCGACGAGCGTCTCGAGCTCAGCAGTGCGCGCATCGGCCTCGGCAGCCCTCTCGCGTTCCGCCTCGACTTCGGCCATGAGCTGACCAATCTCGGTCGCGGCTTCCTCTTGTACGCGACTGCTGTCCGACTGCAGCTGCTCCAAGCGCTTCTTGGTCATCTCGTTGTTCTGCTGGTGCAGCGTCGACAGGCGGCGCGCGCTGTCGAGCTCGATGCGGAAGTGGGCCTCGGCGGCTGACGCTGCATTCTCGAGCTCCTCGATGCGCAGGCGGTCCTCCTCGGCCTTGCCCTTGAGCTCTTCAATGTGTTGTCGCAACAGCGTCTCTGAGCGGTTTAGGGTGTCGATGGTCTCGGCGGCGTCGGCGTTCTCGCGCTGGAGCTGGGCGATCTGGGCGTTCTTCTCCTTCCGGTACTTGCTGTGGTCGTCTGCGCGCGTCTTGAGCTCGGTCGTGTACCAGTCGTTGTTGCTGCGGAGCTGCTCGATTTCCTGCTGTAGGTTGGCCTCACGGAACTTGACGTTGGTGGCGGCGCTCTCGAGCGACTGCGTCTTCTCCTCGAGCGTCGACACCTGCTTGCGCAGCTCGACGGATTTCTGGTGTTGCTCAGTGAGCTCCTTGGCGAGGCGGTCGTGTGCGGTCGTCTTGGTCTCGTGCATGGCCATGAGGTCGCGGTTCTGGGACTCGAGCGTCTTGATGCGCGACTCCAGCGCCTGCGTCTCAGACGTCGAGCTGGTGGCCGTGGCGCGCAGGTTGTGCAGCGCCGACTCTGCCTCTTGCCGGGCATTCTCTGTAAACGCGTCAGTATCAATTGAACATGCACAGCTTATGCATCTCGTACCCTCTTGGACTAGCTTCTTCTTCAATTCCTCTGCCTCCTTCTGCGCCTTCTCTGCGGTGGCCTTTAGGGTGCGCGCGCGCTGCTCTCCGCCCTGGATGGCGGCTTCGAGCTCGACATCGGTGCGGATCTTCTCCGATTGGAGGTCATCGTATGCGCGCGCCTTCGCCTCGATCTGTGTGAGGAGTGTCTGGACGAGCTCGACGGTGGGCTCTGATAGTAATGACTGTAGGGTTGTCTCTGGGACGGAATAGGACGCGGCCAGGTAGCCGACGTCGACGGATGCCGCCATGATGGTGTATTAGTTTATTGCAGGCCTCGAACCATTCTCCGGGTCGGTCGAGTGGGTCCCGGGGAGAAAAGAGACAAAGGACGGGGGTGGTGTTGACGCGAACAATGAACGGGTCCGCCGTCAAAGTCGCGAGTTCAGTTGTTTGACGACGGTCGCGCAGGGGCCAACCACTAGCGCGGCTGCCTCCCAAGGTTGAGGTCATAGCACATATGCGTCTTTCTCCGACGCCTTCACTCGGCACCTTCCATTCACTACCTTCACCTTCACCCGCCGCACCTTCCGCGCATCCACGCTCACTACTACCGGACCTTCCCCGTTGTCTACCGTGCGACTCTTTAGCTAGACGCTGCACACTCGACTGCCGACAGCAGGCATCCTCGACCAGGCAACAGCCACCCCCGACCGCATCTTCAACTTCTACCACTACCACTACAACCACCATGTCCTTCCTCAAAGCGAACTCGGCCACAGGCATGAATGCCCCCTCACCCACACCCTCGAGCTCCTCCGCCAGCGGCAAGCGCAAGCGTCCTACCGATGGAGCGCCCCCCGTAGTCTACTCGCAGCCGCAGGACACAGGCACCGGCGAGCACGTCTTCACCCGCCTCACCTACGTCAACGACTTCCTGCGCGAGCGCAAAGAAAAATGGCACACCTTCGACGACATCATGGAATACCTCAACATCCCACCAGGCCACATCCAGCGCGAACAGCTGCGCCAGCTGATGCGCGCCGACAACGCCGGCAACCGGATCAGCTGGGACTCTGCGAACGAGCGCTACAAATACAAGAGCAAGCTCAGCATCCACGACCGCGCGCAGCTCAAAGGCCATTTCCAGACGCAGAAGTCGGCCATGGGACTGCAGATCAAAGACCTGAAAGACGGCTGGTCCACCGTCGCCGACGACATCACCAAGATGGAGAACAAGAAGGAGGTGCTGGTGCGACGTGCCAAGGACGGCGTGCCAAAGACTGTCTGGGGCAACGACCCTTCTCTCATGCTGCCCATGGACCCCGTCTTCGCAAAGGCCTGGCACTCGGTCCAGGTGCCTGATAACCCGGATGAGCTGCGCAAGGCCCTGCTAGCCAACAAGCTGACAGCCGCTACGCAAGCCAAGGTTATTGTTGCCGCCCCTACCAACAAGAAGAAGAAGGGTCCTCGTCGTGGTGGCAAGCAGACTAATACCCACATGATTGGCATCCTGAAAGACTTCTCCGGAATGAGAAAGTAGACGAGTCTGAGGCTTGCAATCTCTCTCATTTGATGTGGAGTACCTTTTGCGTACGTGGTGGTTATGTTGTTTCGGGAGTCATGAGTGGCTCGTGTCGATCTGCGTCATCGCAGTACCATGGATGGCATGGAAGGAACTGAGATAAAGTAGACCATGTTTGTTTCTTGACTGCATAGCGACGGCGTTGGCACATGTTTTCACGTATACTGGCGTTTTCATCTCTGGGCAACGTGGGAAGACCGTTGAACCTCCTTCAAATTGGCATAAACATAAACATAAACATATGTAACATTATGCATTCCCTGCTTCCAATTACTCTCTCCCTTCAAGCCCTCCCTCCCCATACAGTCTCAGTGAAATCATACTCCGCAGCAACTGACCTACACGGCACTGTTAGCAATGTCCTTCTTCTTCTTCTCTAGAGTAGGTAGGCTACTTACACCGCAGCTAGGACAGTCGGTACCACAGCCGCACGGCGGCACGAATTTGGTCGCGCAGCAGCTCTCGAACTGCTGGCGGGCTTGTAGGTCGCCTTCTACGACGTCGTAGGCTTTAATGCTGCCGTCGACTTGCAGGACGTAGTTCGAAGCGGCGAGCGTGGTGGACGCGCAGAGGAAGGTGAGGAGGGCGGTGAGCTTCATGGTTGTTGGTATAAGGAGGTCGTAGTTGTAGGTAAACGTATTCTTATTGTCTGTCTGGATAGGAGGGTGGTCGTGGTCGTGCTATAGCCAGCTACTTATACACACACAGCCCATCCCCCATCTCCTACCCCGGCCGACCATCCTACCCAACACGTACATTCATCTATCCACATCTCCAACATCTCCACCATCTCCACTGATCCAGCCTTGTTTGTTTTTCGTCCGTTGCATCACAGACACTGCGTACGCATTCTGTGGAGACGAACCCCTTGCATTTCGGCCCGTTGGCGCGTGGTTTGCAGCCTAGAGGCTGAATCACATCTAGGCGGTACTGGGCATCACACCATGAATGAAGTGATACTGCGGTGAGGAGATGTGCGAGGAGGTGGCCGCTGTGTGCCTTTGTCGTTGTCGTTGTTGGTGGTGTTGTTGTTAGTGTTTGTGGATCACAGCTAGCTACGGGGTGTTGAACTAGGTATCCGGTGAAGATGGTTATGGAAAGCAGACGTTGATATTGAACTTCTTACACTCGTTCTTTCAGGCCAAGGCGGATAGATTACAAACCATATCCCAAGTTTCTGCCCATAAGATATCATACACAACCCCAATATACTTCTTCCTACTTTTTCTCTCCTTCCTCAAAGATTACAGCAAGAAGACTACACCTAATCCATCATTTCATTCATTTCACAACAAGATATACACTACAAGCATTCTCATACGCCCTCCCACACCCACAAGGCGGAGCGAAATTATTGGAGCAGCAATCCGGGATTAACTGGCGTGCATCCAGCTGCGTATCTGGTACAATCTTGACAGAGCCGTCGAGTTGGGGGATGTGCTTTGCGAACGCGGTGCTTGTGCAGAGGGCGCTGAGTAGGGCTGTGAGACGCATGTTGGGTGGTGGGTAGATGTGGTGGGTTACCTATTGTTGATTGGATTGGGGATGTGGGGATGTTGTTGGTGGTGTGGATATAAGTATGTATACTACATGTGTTCCCAAACAGCTCCAACCTTTCTTCCACCTCCACACCACACACGTCCACGGGTACCTTGCGCACCTCCAGCTTCCCTTTCCTTCCCTTCCCATCACCTCACCCATCCACCCACCCACTTCCCACGTACAAGCCGGCCCATTTCCGCACACCACCGTCACCGTTTCGGCCCGTTCGCGTCCGCTTTCCAAGCTTAGTCTGTACCTAGGTATATAGGCTGAATAGCCAGCTCTAGCACCTGGGCAAAACCGCCCATCACCACCTCCATCTGTCTCTACTGCTTACTGTGGGTACCTAGGTATTCGTTACGCGGACAAGAGCCGTGGCAATGACTTGCAGCTGTCAACGGTAGTTAGATGCGCCGGCATACCCGAGCATGGGAATGCAGGACAGTGATGAGGGAGGAAGCGTTTTGGGTGGGCGGAGGATGGGAGGACATGGTGACGATGATGTTGTACATGCGGTATTGAGGTTTTGCGCCGTTGGAGTAGAGCGTTTTTTAGTGCCATGATAGATTGAATAGGTCGAGGATTGTAGCTTCGTTTCGAGTGTAGTTGCCGCCTGATGGCTTTTGGTAGCGGTTTGTCGCATGGATTTTCACCGCCTTCTTCCCTGTCCTGCATAGTGCTTCCACGGTTGTTTTTCGGTCGCTCAGTTCTACCTTGTTAGCCTTGCACGTCGCAATTCTGGCACGAGCAACGAGGCTGTACATGAGGTGTAGAGGACAAGTTGGAAGGGCCTTGTCCTTTGTGGAGTGTGCGGTGTATGGATTGGTGTTATGGCGCCATCTCTGGTGTACTGTATTACCTCGACCTTTCTGATATGGTTCGGGTGCCAATCAGTTCTTGTTGTGATTTGCAGGACTACCTAGGTGGGAGGCTGAAAGGCTGAATCACATCTTGGCGCCGCTGGGTATCAGATTGCGACTTTAGGTGCGGTGCGGTGAGTTGGGGCGGTGGGATGGGATGGAAGTGTCGTGCGATGGAGGTGTTGTTGCTGGCGTTGTTGGTGGTAGTGCCCAGGTGGTAGTGTGCAGAAACCACTGCCATGTGTGAGTATTGTCGGACCTGGTACCTGGGAAATATGAGGCTGGAGGAGAGTCCCGATATTTACCCGTAGCTGTGGCCCAAGGTGATCTGGGTTGGCGGTCAGTGGTTAGTGATACGAGAAGCCATGTCTGTCGTAGTCCTGTCCGTGTCAGCTGTTATTGCTTCTAGTAGCTATCTACTTCACTCTTCATGGCACTTATAAACTTCGAAATGTTGAAATTTGTACTTGCACGCTACCTAATATAGACATTAGCGTAGATGTTCGAGTTCGTGCTGACATCAGGCTATTACGCCCTTGATCCCCCCTCTCTTTCTCTCTCTCTTTCTATCGTCATGTCTTTGCCTCTCTTCCCCCTTGGACGTTTTCCCATACGTCTCTTCTCGAAGAATCCCTCCTTTCCAGAAGTGCCCGGTCATGGCGGACTATCGCACCTCTCTAAAAACCGCAGCACTCAAGCTACACCCAAACACGTTAGCAAAGCGTCCCATGATGAACCCGACGTATCGCTCTCATTCGTCCCCTCCAGGGCTCTCTAGTTCCGTCTTCTTCTTCGTCTCCTTCATCTTGAGTCGAGTAGGAAATACGTACACCACAGCTAGTACAAGGTGCAGGTGGGCAAACACAAGGCCCATTGAAGTTGGTGGAGCAGCACCCTGGGATCTGGCGTGGTAGCAGATCGCCTTCTGCCATCGCTTTGATGGAGCCGTCGGCTTGGAAAATATCGATGGCGAAGGCGGTGCTTGCGCACAGGGCGGTTAGGATGGCGGTAAACTTCATGGCCGGTTCGGGATGGGCGGCTTGTGCGGATAGGTGTGGATTTTTTGGGATGAGATGGTGATGGGGGTCGCGGTAGTGGTGGTGCATGTATTTATATTCACTCATCTATCTATGTACATCAACCTACGTACAACGTTTGTTACTGCTTACTGTATTCCGCTTCTCCCGACATATTTCGTATCGCATCGTATATTACCACGTACCTATGTACATGAATGTTGACCCCCCTCTCTCTTTTCTTCGGCCCGTCGTCGTACGAGCTCGTCGCTAACCTGGGTAATATAGGCTGAATAGCAGCTGGGCGAACTGAACATCTTCATTCTTTAGTCTTTACTGCCCCTCAACCTGGTGCTTCTCTTCTGCGTGTCATGCATCCTGATCAAACATTCTTTCCGTCCGCAAAGCCAAGGTTTGGTCTATCGTGATGCTTTCTCGCCTGATACGCACATGTAGTTCTGGAATATCGGGTTGAAACGAAATGTCTTTCGTCATCGTCGTCGTTACTGCGGCGAGTTGGGGTATTTGAGGACTTGATCGCCAGCGCTTTATTCGTGCTACATGGATGTCGCTTGCTCGGGTTGATAGCTGAAGATGATGCGCACAGCATGCGAGCCTCGGAGTGCCGTTTGAGACCTTTGGTCGCGTCTTACTGGAATATGTTAGTGCTGTTGCTAGTAGCCATCTGATGTTACGTCATGTACACATGCATTCACCAACCCACGAATAGTGCTAACGACTACTACCACACGCAAGATGCGATAAATATACTCCAAAGCATACATGAAGACGCGGAATTTCTTGGCGTAACGACCACTGCGATGCAAACATTCACCGCTACCTTTCCTGCAGGGTCCTTCCTCGGTTACATCTCGGCTGACTAACTTTAGGGCTTACATTAATTATGCCACGGTTTGATTTGCTCGCTCTTCATGAAATCGCCAGTGTTTCCATCGTTCCGTAGAACCTTGAGATGCGATACGGCGATACGACGTGTATCAATCGTGGCGTCATGATTGGCATCATGTCACCACCTCAGGTTTACCGCCTCTTCCTCTCCAATACGGTTCCTGTCCCAACCTCTCGTCCACGAAGCGTTCAGGTAGACCGATGCCTTTGCTGGAATCGTACTCTCCACTGAGTTGACAATCCGTGCACAGCGCGCCCAGCTCATTAATTCTAGCTCTCGCTTCTGTGTATCGCTCATTCTCTTCTTGGAACCGGGTCTTCATGTCTTTGAGTATGGAGGCTAGATGTTCCTGCCGCTCCGAGGTTACCTCAATCCATATCTTTGGGCATTCTTTATTGTCGCTGTAGCGCGATGGCTCCCACTTGATGTCTTCGTTCCAGCCCCAGTTTCGCTCCGAGCTTATAGGCCCGTATCTGCTGAACATGTTGTATAAGATGATGGATGTCTGGATCCCCTCGGCGGCAGCGGCTCGGCTGATCGATGCCAAGCTGTCCAGCCAATCTTCCTTCCAGTCCAGGAGCGGAAGTTCGACACGCAGGTGCGCGAGCTGGGGGAAGGCTGTCCGCTTGTTCTGCACCACTAGATCGAGTGCCGGGAGTAAGCACTTTGGGACAAATTCGACAACCTTCTTGTGGTCTATATGCTGGTTCTGGGCTCGTGTTATCCAGAGTTCTTCAAGGTTCTTGGGCAGCGTGGTCCAGAGTCTATCTCTCGTTTCGGCGATGTCGAACATCTCCTCGTTGGTGGTCTTGCGGTGGCCCCATATGTACACGGGGGCGACTTTAAGGCGACGCAGAGCCGTGAAAGAAGAGAATGAACACGGATAAGCCTTTCCGCGCTCGGCGCTTTCGTCGTCAAGGTAAGGGTAGAAGTCTTCGTGGCTTAACCCCAGCTTTTCCAGCGTCTCGTGATGTGGCTCCAGGCTTCGCATCATCGCCGGATGCTCTGTGTCACACCACGCCCACGGGCCTCCAAGCTCGTAGTTGAATGTCTTGAGTTTTCCGGGTATTGTCGCGTTCAACATGCCTCGAAAATTCTCCATGTCAAGCTTTGCGCATCGCAATTCCAGATACTCCACTGGGCATGATTGTGGCTCCAGTTTCGAGAACAAGTCATTCTGGTCGTGGACTTCGCCGTCGCCGTGCTTCCATCCGTATATAGAGCGCACGTTTGGTAGACAAAAGAAGGCTGCGACGTGACTGGTAGCGCTA